CTCTTCGATATTCAATCTTAATCCAATTCTGCTTCTGGGTCTCTCAGGTTTGTCTCGAATCTCAAACTAATTTAACTAAAGATTGATTAGTCTAAATTGTTTTGTTCCCCTTTCTGTTCGTAATACACGGCTTGTTCGAAACTTTACCTAGATTTGTTTCGATTAAGTTTTAAGATTCGGATTCCATAGTGATGGTTTAGGTTAACGAAACCCAGTAATTGAATTGTTGCGATGGTGTTGATCGAGCTCAAGTAGAAAACCCTAGTTTCGGGGCTCTGTTCACTCGCACTCCTGAATTTTTTTAAAAAATTCGAATTTAGTTTGCTAAGTTATATGATTTCTATCTGTTTGATGATGAATTGTGTAACTGAAGCTAGGGAAAAAAAATCCCTAATTTATTTTATGATGATTTTGGTAGCTCATTGGTTTTTTTTTGTTTGATTTATTGTCTTAGATATTGGCTTAAATGGGTAAGAAGAAGTCAGACGAGAGTGCCGCTACCAGCAAGGCGAAGCCAAGTGGGAAAGAGAAATTATCAGTGTCAGCTATGCTTGCAAGCATGGATCAAAAAGATGATAAACCCAAGAAAGCTTCATCATCCAGAGCCAAGGCTGCTCCAAAAAAAGCTTCTTCTTATATTGATGGTTTAGATCTTCCTCCTTCTGATGAAGAAGACGAGGGCGATTCTGACGAGGAACAGAGAGAGATGGAAGCGAGGAGGAAGCAGAAGAGCGAACAAAGGCATCTTGATATCTCTATGACTGACAAGGAACAAAAGAAGCGAGAGATGAAAGAAAGATTAGTTAGAGAGGCTGCAGAGCTTGCAAAGAGGGAGGCTTTGAGGGACGACCATGATGCGTTTACTGTTGTGATTGGAAGCAAGACCTCGGTGCTTGAAGGAGAAGACACGGCGGATGCGAATGTTAAAGATATTACGATCGATTCTTTTTCTGTGTCTGCTCGAGGAAAAGAACTTCTGAAGAATGCATCTGTCAAGATATCACATGGGAAAAGGTATGGATTGGTTGGGCCGAATGGAATGGGGAAGTCTACACTGTTAAAGCTTTTAGCGTGGAGGAAGATCCCAGTTCCGAAGAATATTGATGTTCTTCTTGTTGAGCAAGAGGTGGTTGGTGATGAAAAGAGTGCTCTGAATGCAGTTGTTTCTGCCAATGAAGAATTGGTTAAGCTACGGGAAGAGGCTGAAGCTCTCCAGAATTCGTCTTCTGGAGCTGACGGAGAAAACGACGATGATGATACTGGAGAAAAGCTTGCTGAAGTGTATGAGAGGCTACAGATCTTGGGGTCAGATGCTGCTGAAGCACAGGCGGCTAAAATTCTTTCTGGGTTAGGGTTCACAAAAGAGATGCAAGTGCGTCCAACTAAGTCTTTCAGTGGTGGCTGGAGGATGCGAATATCGTTAGCTAGAGCTCTCTTTGTGCAACCTACTCTTTTGTTGTTAGATGAGCCTACCAACCATCTTGACCTGAGAGCTGTTCTCTGGTTGGAGGAGTACTTGTGTCGCTGGAAGAAGACGTTGGTTGTTGTTTCACATGACCGGGATTTCCTCAACTCTGTCTGCACAGATATCATACATTTGCATGACCAGAATCTCCACTTCTATCGTGGTAATTTTGATAGTTTCGAAAGTGGATATATTCAGCGACGCAAGGAGATGAACAAAAAGTTTGAGACTTTCGAGAAACAGGTTAAAGCAGCTAAGAAGTCTGGAAACCGAGTTCAACAAGAGAAGGTAAAGGACAGGGCCAAGTTTGCAGCTGCGAAAGAAGCATCCAAGAGTAAGGGAAAGGGTAAAGAGGTGGATGAGGATGGCCCAGAAGCAGAAGCTCCAAGAAAGTGGAGAGATTATAGCGTGGAGTTCCATTTTCCAGAACCAACCGAGCTCACTCCTCCTCTGTTGCAGCTGATTGAGGTGAGCTTCTGCTACCCCAACAGACCAGATTTCAGGCTCTCAAATGTTGATGTAGGTATCGATATGGGTACACGGGTTGCTATAGTTGGGCCTAACGGAGCTGGAAAATCCACTCTTTTGAATCTTCTTGCGGGAGATTTAGATCCGACAGAGGGCGAAGTGAGAAGAAGTCAGAAGCTGAGGATTGGCAGGTATTCTCAGCACTTTGTTGACCTGTTAACAATGGGGGAAACACCGGTTCAGTATCTTCTTCGTCTTCATCCAGACCAAGAGGGATTTAGCAAGCAAGAAGCTGTGCGTGCGAAGCTTGGAAAGTTTGGGCTACCAAGTCACAACCACTTATCTCCAATTGCAAAATTGTCTGGAGGACAAAAAGCTAGGGTTGTGTTCACCTCGATATCAATGTCGAAGCCACACATTTTACTTTTCGACGAGCCAACAAATCACTTAGACATGCAGAGTATAGATGCGTTGGCGGATGCCCTAGATGAATTCACAGGAGGAATTGTGTTGGTGAGTCACGACTCAAGACTCATATCGCGTGTCTGTGCAGAAGAGGAGAATAGTCAAATTTGGGTTGTAGAAGACGGAACAGTGTCTTTCTTCGAAGGCTCATTTGAAGATTACAAAGAAGATCTCCAAAGAGAAATCAGAGCAGAGGTTGACGAGTGAAGTTTTGTTGTTGGCTGTTAAGGTAAACTCAAACAAACTCCTTTATATTTATAACACACTCAAACAGTTTTGGACACTTTTTTTATTTTCAGCCATTGTGTTTTTTCATCATCATCTGTGTGTCAATGACATGCACCATATACATGGGTCTCTTCCCCATATAACATATCTGAGTGTAGTATTGTGTTTTGGGGTAAAAAACTAAAGACATGTTTCATTCTTTTTCATCTATCTGTGTGTTTCATTTAGAGTATATAATATAAACAGCTTTTGTTCAAATTCTCTCTTGTTTTAAGAGCCTTTTTCCATTATACTCTCTACATAAATCCATTAAATTGATCTGTTAAGTGTTTTTGAGCTTCTGGTTATTGCTGTTGGAAAAGTCAATTAGATATATTGGAAACTGTGAAATAGTATTTGGATTATTTCTATGATTTAAAGTCAAATTTATAATTGGTAGTCTTCATTTAATTTGTTCTTTTGAAAAAAACCATGTAGTAATTAATATGTAATCCTATATGTAGTAAAAAAGTTATAATCTGTTTTTTCTTCTGGATAGTATTGGTGGGGCATAAATGTAAAAGCCAAAATTTTGAAAACTCAGAAACAAAAATTTTAAACAAAAATGCAAGAAAAATTGTCACAGCTCAATCAAAAGGTTGGTTTCTTCTAAAATTAGCAGAAGAAATCCTCAAAACTAAGGTATGACCCTTACATATAAAAAAATAGCCAAAAAAAAGTTTGAAAACCCATCTCTTATTATCATTTTACCTTCTAAGTTTCAACCTCAACATCTCCACTGGTTTCTCCTTGGTTTTGATCAGCACGACGAACATGAGGAGACAGCCATTTGGTTAACACACACTCTGCTCTCCTCCACGGGGGAACACGAAGCCCTTTCTTCTTGAAGCTTTTCTTTGCAGCTTTAGACACAACAACCACAATCTTCTTTAACCGATCCACTTGTCCCACGAAAATGTAAGGCAATGTCCGTGATATCGACTTATAAGTCTTTGTCGGACGAGCAATCTCGAATTTGGACTTAAAATCAATGTCGATCAACACTCTTTCTCCTCCAATCATCACATCCAAATACTCATATTCTCCTGTTTACCAATTTCACACAAATTGGTATATACCTATAATATGACTAGAGGATCATAAACAAGAAAATTGGAGGAAAATGTACCAGCAGGACATAAAGACTTTTTCGATTTCTCCCAGCGAGATATGCATATCGCAGCATCGTAACCAAAAGCAACCAATTCATCAACCACGGTTTTCAGTCGTGAATCGTTATCGCTCTTCTCCACTATCTCGGTCGCTTTTGTCACCAGATTCCTCTCTCTCTCAGAGATGTTAGCACAAAGAACAAGAATCTACAATAATATTACCTTTTTGATTAGCCTTTCTACAAATCATAGAACAGTTAATGACAAATCATTCCTTTACGTTTCCAAGAAATCCGCCTGAAGAGTCATCTTCCTCATCGTCCGAGCTAACAGTGCCGCTTCCTCTGAAACAGTTGCGACCACCACAACGTGGTTGCTTCTCACTGTCGGGGTCCTCCATGTAGTTCTGAACCATTTTCCTCAAACAGACAGAGCTCGGTTCGAATTCTCCCGAACTGCCTCTTGAAAGCGATTGATCTCCTCCACCGAAGAAGCTCTTCAGACTGAACTGATGCTCAAATAGCCACTTCAGTCGAGATTTCGGCTCTTTTCTCATCGCCAGTTCCTCGGATGCACCATTGCCGTACATAGGCTGGATTTTGGTACGGAAAGGCATTGTTTTCAAGTCACTTCAAACGATATCCTAAGAGGCAAAAAAATTTTTAAAATATTTTAGAGAAAATAAACAGATCTACAAGATGAACTAATTCTCTCGTTGATCGATCTTCAAAAAAATCATGGATGAAGAAATGCAAATGAGAAGTAATTAACAAAGTTTGAGGAAATCTTAACGTTTATGATATATAATATTCATTAAAATTTCACGACGAAGTTGGAGAAAACTTTTAGAGATCCAAACTGTAAAAATGATGAGAACCCTTAAAAAAACAACAAAAAAATTGTAAAGATTTGTTGAATGAATGGTTTTTAGATACGGATTGATACTTGCCGACACGAAAACTTAATGCTTTTGAGTGTTATTATCATAAAAAAGGGACGCAAATTACAATGTGGATATGCGATCTAGTTAGATATACCATGAATGAGTATGAAATTGGAGATTCAAAATTTTATCCGGCAAGGGAAAACACCTTAGGTAAGAAGACTAATCTTTGGAAGAAAGATTAGATTTTGGCCTAACAATATTAACCCCCGAGGAAAACTATCTTATCGAAGAGAGTCTCGGAAGAAGACTAGTCTTTGGAAGTAAGTTTCGGCATCAATACTAGTTGAATTGCCTTAAAAAAACAAATAAGGAATCTAGTATTTATGATTAGATGAATCCAATAATTATTATTTTTATTATTTAAACATTTATATTGATGTTCAAAGTAAAATTTTAAGATTAAACTCATTTGGTCGTGGATATCATTTATGTTAAGTTTATCATGTGTGGATTACTGACACGACAATAATATATTATTTTTATACTAAAATTTTACTTTGAATATCAATATAAATGTTTTAATCAAAAAATAATTAATTAATGGACTCATCTAATCATAAATACTAGATTTCTTATTTGTTTTTAAGGCAAGACAACTAGTATTGATGACCGAAACCGACTTACAAAAACTTTTCTTATTCCGAGACTCTCTTTGATAAGGTAGTTTTCCTCGAGGGTTCGATAATGTTAGGCCAAAACCCAATTTTTCTTCCAAAGATTAGTCTTCTTCCCTAGGGTGTAAGCAATGTTCCTCTTGCCAGATAAAATTTTGAATTCCTATTTTCGTATTCATTCGAGTAAATCTAACTAGAACGCATATCTACATTGTCATTTGCGTCCTTTTTTATCTTATAATAAGAACAATCAAAAGCATTAACGTTTTTGTGTGGCCAAGTATCAATCTTTATCTATAAATAAAAGATAATTTTCAAAAAATGCCACTTTTAAAGTGTCACTTTACAAAAATGCCACACTTTTGAAATCTTTACAAAAATGCTATTTTTTCAAA